TTGTGTGTCAGTTTATCATATGGTGGTGGCTTGTGTGTTGCTGTAATACTAGAAGCCATATCATTGGTATTTCAAATGCTAGCAGGGTCACCCAAAGTGAAAAGCAATCTCTGTAGCTCCCAGACTAAGAACCAGTGGCACAGAATGAGTAAGTGCTACGGATGGTGTTAGGCACAGCCTGGAAACATTGGCAGATACTGAAACAAAAACTCACAACCAGTAAGGAACATCAGAATAAACAGAGAAAAGATTGAAGTTGGCCAAGATTTCACCTTGCTTGGATCTATAATCAATGCTTATAGAAGCAGCAGTCAAGAAATCAAACAATGCATGGCATTGGGTATATCTGCTGCACAAGACCTAAAGTGCTGAAAAGCAAGAAGATTACTTTGAGAACTGAGATACCCCTGATGCAAGCTATGGTATTTTCAATTGCCTTATGCATGTGGAAGTTGGCTATTGAATGAGTGTGTGTGTGTGTGTGTGTGTGTGTGTGTGTGTGTGTGTGTGTCTTGATCATGATGTATCATTGCATCACCCTTGGCACTTGGTCAGTACTCCAGAAAACCAGATTGAGAATTTGGAATCTGCTCCCATGGATTGTAACTAGTCTCCAGTCACTAAGGAAAAATCAAAACAAAACACAAAAATTTAAAGAGGATATTTTTCTGCCAAAAAATGATTTTTCCTTGATGTTATTTGTTGCTTGGGCCAGTATTGCAGTGGAAAAAATAGAGTGGTCAAGAGTTCAATATAATTTTCTGTGGCACTTGACCTAAAGTAACATAATAAACAATAATGACAGAAAACTATGTCCTTTCTTATGATTGTTCCACACAGAATATTTAAAAGAAGTAGAGAACAATAACAACAAAAAAAGTAGAGAACAATACAAGGCTATTTTCTTTTATTTTAAATGGTAACTATTAAATTAACTTATTTGTTCAATAAATACTTTTTGAGCATCCACTAGATTCCAGATATTCTTATAGCACTTAGGAAATATCTTTAAACAAAGCAAAACAGTATCAAAACTGTACATGGAGATGATATTTCTAAATGTTGCAGGGTTTCTGAAACTTGTGAACTAATTTAAGTGCTTGCTGTCATTGCTATAATAATTCTTATCTAAAAAGCTACTGTAAATCTGTATCTTAGAAAGTCCAGTTAGGGTCTGGCTGCCTGTCCTTTAGTGTTGAGAAGTGGGAAAGCTGAGAGGTTAAATTGCTCTCAGTGAAAATAGAGTGGCAAATGGTAGGATGATTTGGGATCGAGGGAAATAAAAAGTCACTCAAATAAGGAAGAATCCATGTGAACGGGAGATGTTCAGACAGGTATAGGAATTGGTGACTTTGAGGGAAGATGTCAAGGTTTAAATATACGTGTTTAGTATTCTTTGTGGGTACAGTAGCAATAGTGATGTTTTTGGTAGGAATTTTTAAAAATTAACTTTTGTTTTCCCTTTCTGCTTCTTTTTCTACTTCTCTTCCTTTTCTTTTTCTCCTTCTTTAAATTTTTTTCTCCTTTTTTTTTGCTGCCAAATGTATAGAAAACAGACTTACGGCAGGGAAAAGACAACCTAGTTGTGTTAGGGTGGGTTGATAGAGAAAGAAATCCAGGCACACTAATATATGTGTACGGGAGATCCCTGTATCAAAAGCTAATTACATATCTAATAAACATCCCAGCCCAGTCCAGGTTAAGTCCTTAAGTCTGATACTCGTCCATACATCCCCCTTCACATTCACGCAGCCAGATGCAATGATACAGAATGCAGGAAGATCACATGCCAGTGGGTAAAAGTCTTGTGAATACAGTGGTGCTGGATGCATCTCCAGTGGTCTTGCAGGTCTCCAGCTCTGCATGGCTCACCCACAAGAAGGTGAAGCAGAGAGTGAGGGGGAAGTTCCCAGGATCCTCCTTATGAGGAGATCAGGCATGCTCAAACTATGACCTGATTGACAGGCTAGACTCCATCCCTACACTTCAAGTTGACACAAAATTATGTAACTACCACATTAGTTATATTTAGGTTATATATACTTTTTAAAGTATTTAAATACATCATAATATAATTTGGAGGTGGGCATTGTTCTCACATAGTAAACACTGTACTTAATCTAGACACTATCTTCCCTACAGGAGTTTTTGATTGAAGTTAATTCCTGATTTCTATGACTGTCAAACTGTGTGCTGTTAGAAAGGTGGAGGCACACTAAGTCATAGGACAGTATCAGTAACCATCAAAGCATTGATCATATTCTGGGAAAACCGTGAGTCTTATTGGGTATAGCCTCAGTCATAGTAGCAGTATGACTTAGTGATGATCTCCAATTCAAGTCAATTCTGATGCAGGACCACCCTAGAGAGCAGAGGAGAGCAGCCCCTCTGGGTTTCCCAGACAGTAAATCTCTATGGGAACAGGAAGCTTTGCCTTTCTCTTGCGGAGCACCTGGTGGTTTTGAACTGCTAACCTTGAGGTTAGCAGCCCAAAGCATTGCCCACTATGCCATGGACTCTTGTAGTAATAATAATGTGAAAAAAAGAAATAGTAGTATTGATGGCTTCTATTTATGAGGACCCTATTTTGTGCCATACAACATTCTAGACATTGTTCCAATGAATCCTCACAAATTCTATGAGGTGGTATTATGGATTTTGTGTTCTCCAAAAAGATATGGTGAAATTCTAACTTCTATTACCTATGAACGTGACTCAGTATGGAAATAGGGTCTTTGAAGATGTTATCAGATAACAGGAGAGGACACAGATACAGAGTATGTTCTAATGCCACCTGTGAATGTTCTTGCAAGAGACAAAGAGACACAGGCAGAACCATGGTTCAGTAAAGATGCATCCACATGCCCAAGCAAGCCGGGATATGGCTTCAGAAAGCCAGGAGACCCAAGAAAGGGTCTTCCCTAGAACATTTGGAGAGCGTGGCCCTGCCAACACCCAGCATTTGGACTAGTCTTCTCTGGAATAGTGAGATAATCAATGACTGTCTTTAAAACTCATCCTATTGTATTTAGTTAGAGCAGCCCTAGCAACTGAGGACCTTGTTACTTGCTGTTGACTCACAGCAATCCCATGTAGAACTAGGCGCCTAGACCTGTGCGATGTGCACATCAGGCTCGAGTCCATTGTTGCAAACACTGCGTATCATGAGTGCCTTCCAACATAGAAGGAGCCCTGCGGTGCTGTGGGAGAAATGTTGGGCTGCTAACTGCAAGGTCAGCACTTCAAACCCACCAGTCACTGCACAGGAGACAGATGAGGCTGTCTGCTCCTATAAAGATCTTAAAGTCTCAGAAATCCGCCGTGTCAGCTTTATTCTGTCCTACAGAGTCACTATGGGACAGAATCAACTCCATGGTGGTGAGGTCAGTTGGTTTGGGCTGAGGGGGGGAAACAATGAACCAGTTAGTCTCAGAGGAGCTTCAATCTGGGAACTCTTTTTGCCTGGTCAAC